TTATAATTTTAATTTTTTACTATTCTACTAGCGTATCCCCTGCCATGCAAGAATGTATGTCTTGGATAAGGTTGGTTTCAGTACTATAGGAACTATGGATGTAAAAAAGAGTTAACTTGAGGACCAAGCATGGTTATAGTTTTGCTGCAAAATTATACAATTGAGACACCTACACCCATTATAAATGCAAACAATGGAGAGCACTATGCAAAGCTTATGCACTTGAGCCTGATATGCTTATCACCTTTGATATTCATTCGGAAGATGATATTGAAGATAATATCGACATCTGGGTCAATGTGCAGACGCCTCCAGTTCTACCATTATGTGAGTTTCTCAACCATATTTATGTCTTGGATATTGTTTATTAAAAAAAGTTGACAACTAATTTCTATTGACAGCATATTTCCATTCAAGCAAACATGTCCGGCGCTTCGTAGACATGACCTACTACTGTCCCGGGGCTGAACTACTACGAGGAGATAAGTCATTATGTTTCATGGCTTGAGGATCTTCATACTGTCAAGACAAATTATTTTCCTAAACTTGAAAATCTTAGTACTCAAAATGTGCGAACAATAGTGTTCGTACAGAACTACGGTCACATCTATTTAGGAACGATGGTAAGAATTCTACTACTTGTCCTTAGTGCATCTTTTGCATACATTATTTTTTAAGCTAAACTTCATTGATAAGTATATTTCTACGATGTTCTTCAACAGGGACTCCCGATGATAGTTGTGCCTCAGTGGATCGAGGCTAAAGGTAGCATGTCCATGGTTAGCATACGGCCAAGACATCCTACATTGCACATGAGTGCATTCAGGATTTGAAAAAGCGAGCAAGTCTTAATAGTCAAAGACTGGAACAAAATTGTGAAGGATCGCAAAGAAGTACTAGGGGGCAGCAATCAGAAGCGCAACCCACAATTAGGATACAGGTTCATTTGCATGCTGCAGTATGATGAATCAGGAGTGCTACACATGTTCTATGCTATTTTACCTGAGAGAGAGTAGCAGGAGTGATTAGCTAGCTAGAATGAGCGTTGGTGGTGATGACTATGATGATTATTGTTAGCTAGTGTTGGTGGTGATTAGCTATGACAATGATGATAAAATAGTGTTGGTGGTAATAACTATGATAATTATTTGCTAGTGTTGTTGGTGATGATATGATGCAAGAGTTTTTTATATTAATATGATGATGATGATGAGTTATTATATCATTAGGTGAAAGAACCGTGGATTAGTTTCAAGTGGATGGATCCTAAGTGATCAAGTCATGGATTATCATGATAATCCATGACTTGGTCACTTATGATCCATCCATTTGAAACTAATTTGTGGTTCTTTCACCTAGTGATTTAACAACTCATTATAATGTAAAAACAATCTCTAAATTGCTACTGTATGAAAACTTGTATAAAGGTGTATGAATACGACCTAAAATTAAAAAAATAGAATACAGAATAATAGTAGCAGCGCGAGCAATGAGAAGTGCTACTAGTAATTACTAGTAGCGGCTGTTGCAGCACGCGCTATTACTAAGTAGATATAGCAGTAGCATGTGCCAACAAATGCTACTGCTAACCTTTAGCCGCGCTACTGATAGGCCAATAACCCGCGCTACTGCTAGGCTTTTCCCATGTAGTGCAAGGTCGGAGCACCCTCCGGGGGGGGGGGGGTAGGGCGTGCCCTCCAACCTTCTGGTTGGCTCGAGACTCTTTTGGCCTAACTCTTTTGCTTCGGGGGCTTCTTCTGGTCCGTAGATTTTTCACATCATTTGGACTCCATTTGATATTCCTTTTCTGCGAAACTCAAAAACAAGAAAAAAAATCAGAAACTGGCACTGGGCTCTAGATTAATAGGTTAGTCCCAAAAATCATATAAAATAGCATACAAATGCATATAAAACATCCATGATAGATAATATAATAGCATGGAACAATCAAAAATTATAGATACGTTGGAGACGTATCACCCCTCCCTTGTTTTGCCAGCCCTAGGGAAGGAAAAGGGGGAGGGCGGGCCACTCTTGCCTTTCCCCCTCATGGGAGAAAGGAAAGGGGGCACCCTCCCCTGCCTTTCCCCGCACTCCAAATAAGGAAAGGGGGCGCGGCTTGGGAGGGACCCCAAGTAAGATTTCTCCTACTTGGGCGCCTCCTTTGGCTGCTCCTCCCTCCCTCCCACCTATATATATATATATATATATATATATATATATATATATATATATATATATATATATATATATCTGTGTGTGTGGGGGGGGGGGAGGGGCGCCTAGCACACAACAGACAACTTCCTAGCCGTGTGCGACGCCCCCGTCCACTGTTTACTTCGTAGGTCATATTTTCGTAGTGCTTAGGCGAAGCCCTGTGGAGATCGCATCACCATCACCGCCACCACATCGTCGTGCTGACGGAACTCATCTACTACCTCGACGTCTTGCTGGATCAAGAAGGCGAGGGACGTCACCGAGCTGAACGTGTGCAGAACGCGGAGGTGTCGTGCTTTCGGTACTCGATCGATTGAAGCGCGGAGAAGTTCGACTACATCAACCACGTTTTGAAACGCTTCCGCTTACGGTCTACGAGGGCACGTAGACAGACTCTCCCCCTCTCGTTGCTATGCATCTCCATGGATAGATCTTGCGTGTGCGTAGAAATTTTTTTGTTTTTCATGCAACGTTTCCCAACAAGTAGACCATTATGACTTCCTCTTGGGTAGCGTTAGGGTAGGTCATAGTGACATGTAAAACCCAGATTGAGCCCTTGTCTTCGCAAGCGCTTTGAAGTGGGGGTATCACACCCTAAGTGCAGAACCTTCAAGCTGGATTGTCCTGTTTGTGAAGCAAGTGCCACGTCAAACTTGTGTATTGGATATTTAAGCATCAAAATACCATTTCATACATATATTAGGGCCACATGCAAGTAGGGGAGGTGTTCTGACCCTCCCTCGTGTGGTTTCCGATGATGTGCCGATCCATGGGGCCCGCTTGGTTTACGCCTTTGGCCGACCTCGAGGGGGGGTAGACTATGGTGACTTCCTCTTGGTTTGTGTTAGGGTAGATCATAGTGACATGTCAAATCAAGATTAAGCACCTGATTTCACAAGATTCCTTGTCGTGGCCTCGAAGTGGGGGTGTCGCACGCTAAGTGCAGAACCTTCGTGTTGGACGTCCTGTTTGTGAAGCAAGTGCCACATCAAAGTTGTGGTACTGGATATTTAAACATCACACCACTCTTTCTTACATATATTAGGGCCATATGCATGTGGGGGAGTTGTTCAGACCCTCCCTCGCGCGCGCCGATCCGTAGGGCCCGTTTGGTCTACACCTTTGACCGGCTTCGAGATGGGGGTAGACCATGGTGGCTTCCTCTTGGTTTTTGGGGTAGGTCATACTAACATGTCAAACCATGATTGAGGACCTGTCTTTAGAAGATTCCAACATGTTACCTCGAAGTGCGGGACTCACACTCTAAGTCCACAACCTTCGTGTCGAATTGTCCTATTTTTCGTTGCTTAAGGTCTTGTGACCAATTATAACACACACAAAGAGGATATATGATTCAGATGGAATCACCACTTTTTAGAAAAGCTAGGGGTAGACGTTTCTGGGCTTACCGAACAGGGGACTCATAAAATCGTGTGAATTGGGTAAGAACAACTTATCCTTTTGTGCATTATACTAATATGGGTATGCTATAGGGTGTGAAGAGGCTAAGGTAACACCATAACTTTAAAGTGGACATAAATTGAGGGCATCGAAAGTGCGACGAAAACTAGTCGGGAGAGAATGCGTGAGAAAGAGAGGGGAAAGAAATAAAATGCAAAATAAGTAAACATGAATGCAATGAAAACATCAAAAAGTCAAATTTGCATATCCAATAAAGTTTTGCAAAAATAGGTCGACTATAAACCGAGTACTTTATATCGGCCACTCGGCTTACATTTAGTGTAAGTCGAGAACCGTTATGACCACACTCGGCTTATAGGGTACGACATCATAGAGCAGTCAACCACCTCCGTGATGGCCACGTGGTAGGGAACTATAACGAGTCTTTCTGTAAGCTGAGGTCTTTTGGGGATATATGTCAAGGAGCATATGTAAGCCGAATGTCATTTAGATCCCTACTCGGCTTACTGTTAGCTAAGCTGTGTTTTCTTTTCTCTCGTGCGCTCTTTAGTTTGTACTCGTCTTACCCTAACCTAAGGCGAGTACGCGATAAAAGACACTCGACTTATACATTGACACATGACGACGTGCATTTTTCCTGTAGTATTAGATCAGAAACCAACGCCAGACTAGAATTCGACTGTCTCAAATTAAGAATTTAGTGGACTGGCATGTAGCTGGTCCCTAACATTGAAGATATAGAGTCATCCTGATGTAATCTTTCTTTGTCCGGAAGCAATGGACATATGCATAAATTGGATGCGTATCATTAAATGCTTGTATCACTTTATGCAATATCCCTACATCTACGGGCTGGTATGGAAATTCCCTACCTAATCCCCCCCCCCCCTCCCCCTCCCAATTTCGGGGATGGGCCCCTTCCTCCCCATGTCTTCATTCACAATCATTCATGTTTGTCATTACGGTAACATGATTGCTAAATCTTAGGCGACTGAGACTTTGCTATATTCTTGAGATCTTATGTGGAGATCCATATATGCTTTTTCTTTTAGATTTTTATTTATTTTTATATATTCTGTTACTTGATTGAGACTTGGTTAAGTCTCAGTCGACTGAGATCTAGCCACACCCTTACATTAAAACATTACTAGCATTGCACATAAACCACATCCTTTATCGAGAGGGCAAACACAATACCACGGTGATACTGACACGAACGCTTGAATACAAACGGTTAAAGCTCACTCAGGGTAGTGGTAGTATGGTACACAAAATGCACATGACACGAGCGCTGTTTTGTAGGTTAACTACGCGGTACACCGTACAGCTAGCACGTAATTTGTGCTAGAGCCCATCACCATCTACGGCACTAGCTTCTTCGCCGCCGGTTTCCGGCCGGGTTTGGGCCTGGCCTCCTGCAGCATGGACAGCACGTCCCTCATCGACGGCCGGTCCTGCGGGCACCGGCTCGTGCACAGCAGCGCCACCCGCAGCACCAGCGCCATCTCCTCCCGCGCCGGCTCGCTGTTGCTGCTAACGTGCTCCATCACGTCGCGCAAGCCGCCGCCGCCGCCGGCGACCTTGGATCTCACCCAATCCACAATGTTGCTGCCCTCCCCGTACTCCGCCTCCACCGACTTCCGCCCGGTAAGAATCTCCAGCAGCACCACGCCGTAGCTGTACACGTCGCTCTTCTCGTCCACACGCAGTGTGTACGTGTACTCTGAGAAAAACACCAAGATGTTAATGGCGACGACGACGGCATTGATCAGCATCGGTCGATCGAAGCATGCGCGAGTCTCTGCTATGCTCACCTGGTGCGATGTAGCCGCAGGAGCCGGCAACGACGGACATTGGCGCGGCGCCCTGGAGAGCCTTGGCAACGCCGAAGTCGGCCACGCGGGCCTCCATGTCGGCGTCGAGGAGGATGTTGCTGGGCTTGAGGTCGCGGTGCGCCACCGCGGGCAGGCAGTCGTGGTGGAGGTAGCTCACGCCCTGCGCCACGCCGACGGCGATTCTGTACCGCGCGTCCCACTCCGGGCGCGCCTTCGGCGTCTTTCCCGCCGTGGCGCCGTGCAGGAGCTCGTCGAGGCTGCCGTTGGGCATGTACTCGTAGAGCAGCATCGTCGTCTCGCCGTTTGTGCACACCCCGAGCAGCCGAACGATGTTGCGGTGGCGGAGATGGCCGAGCATCTCCACCTCGGCGAGCACCCTCTCGTTGCCGTCGCCGCCGTCTTGTGTGTCCATTTGCTTCGCCGCGTGATCTGCGGCTGTCTCCTTTTGCGCCGGCGCTTGCCACAGCTTCTTCACGGCGATTACCTCGCCATTCGGCATCTTCGCCCGGTACACCGTTCCCGACGACCCGGCGCCGACGATGCCGTCGCTCCCCTCGACGCACCGTGCCACGTCGTCCGCTGTGAAGCTCAGCCTCTGAAACGCGGTCATCCTCCACGGCCCAACGACTACGTTAGGGCGTGCCCCTCCCGCTCCGGCGCTGCTCGAGGCCACCGAGTCGTCCTCCAGACACTGCAGCCAGCGCGCGGTAAGCGCCAGCACCACCATTCCGGCGAACGCCACTGCCACGGCTGACATCCACATTGCAGCGGTGTGGCGCGCTGAACCGCCCTCGCCGGGAGTCGGCGACCGCGAGGCCGTCCCAACCGGTGCTAAATGGTTGAAAGACACGTCGAAGGTCTCCAGCGTAGTACAATTGGCGACGCCCGGCGGGATGCTGCCGGTAAGGACGTTCCAGGAGAGGTCCACCTCGGTGACCGACGGCAGCGCCGCGAGCACCGCTGGGATCTCGCCACTCAGGTTGTTGTGCTGCAGCCTCAAGCTCACCAGCCGCTTGCAGCTGCCAATGTCACCGGGGACCGCGCCGCTCAGCTCATTCCAGGCCAGCTCCAGCCTGTACAAGTTTGCGCACCCGGAGGTGCCAAACGGCGGGATTTCGCCGTCCAGAGCGCACTTGCTCGCCGCCAAGACTTGCAGCTTCGGTGCCCGCCACGTATTGCTCGGAAGCGTACCGCCGATCGGGTTGCCGGAGACGTTGAGGTACTCCAGGCTCGGGGAAATGACCAGATCAGCCGGAATGCCGCCGGTGAGCTCGTTGGAGCTCAAGTCCATGTACGTCAGGTTCTGCACCGCGCCGAAGCCGGACGGAATCGTGCCGGAGAGCCGGTTGGACTCGAGCCGAACCCGCCACAGCGACGAGCAGTTGGCGAGGCTCGCCGGGATGGCGGAGTCAAATCGGTTGGCGAAGAGTATGAGGCGGAGGAGTCGGTGATCGGTGCAGAGTCCCGACGGGATCGGGCCGGAGAGGGAGTTGGTCGACACGTCCAGGCGAACGAGCCGCCCGCTCGTACCGAGCGACTCCGGCAGCCTCCCGATGAGTGAGTTGTTCCACAGTTGCAGCACCTCGAGGTTGGGAAGCTCACCGATCGTCGCCGGGATCGTGGCGGAGAGGAAGTTGCTCATGAGGTTCAGCGTCGTGAGATTCGCGAGCTCGCCCAGACCGGCGGGTATAGCTCCGGCGAGCTGGTTGTCCGACAGGTCAAGAACCTGCAGTGCTCGGAGGCGCGACCACGGCGGCGGTATTGCGCCGGCTAGCCTGTTCTTGAATAGAAACAGAGATTCGAGCCGCGCGAGCCCGCCAAGCTCCGGCGGAAGCGAGCCGGACACATTTGCCGCGGCGATGTCGAGGTACCGGAGCTGCGTCAGCCCACCGAACTCCGCTGGTATGCCACCATTGTAGCCATTATACCCGACCTCAAGGTGTTCGAGCAGCGCGAGCTCGCCGAGCTCCTTCGGCAGCTGCCCTGAGAGGGCGTTCCCGGCGAGGTGCAGGAAGCGTAGCTGCCGAAGCTGCCCAACCTCGACCGGAATGCTCCCATTGAAGAAACTGCCCCCGAGGTTGAGGTGCTCGAGCCTCTGGAGCTCCCCGATGCCGCGGGGAAGCTGGCCCTCGAAGCAGTTGCTGTAGGCATCGAGTACGGAGAGGGAGCCGAGCCTGGCAATGCCGTCGGGGAAGGTGGAGTTGAAGAAGTTGTGGCTGATGTCAAGCTTCACAAGACGACGGAGCAAGAACACCGCCGGCGGGAGCTCCCCCGTGAAGGCGTTCCAGCTGAGGTTGAGCGAAGCCAGCGTCGGCGCGAGCAGCGCGGCGGCCGTGGGGGAGACGGTGCCGGATAGGTTGCGGCGAGACAGATCGACCCCGACGACGTCGCCGGTGGCCGCGTCGCACACGACGCCGGGCCATGCGCACCACGGAGGGGAGAGCGACCGGGTGGCGCCTGCGGAGGCCGCCGCGGCGTAAGTCCATGGACTGAGCGCGCCGGCCGGGTCGTTCAGGGAGGACTTGAGAGAGAGAAGCGCGAGCAGCGGGAGCGGCGCCGACGACGCGGTGGTGATGGTGAGGAGCGGGAGCAGAAGCAGGAGGCCATGGAAGGGGACCTGTGAGGCCATGGTGGTGGAGGTGTCGGCGGTGTGAGGAGGGGAGGCGATGGTAAAATGGAGGAAGGAAAGGTAATGGCGGTGTTGCACTGGTGCATGCACATCATGATGAGAGGCTCGGAAGGAGGAGGAGGAGGTGGTGGTGGAGGACAGGGAGAGTGGAGTGGAGAAGAGAGAGCGCGCCGTGGTGATGATGGCCATGGTCGGGCGGGCCTGGCTTTGCATGCAAGAAAGAGACGACTTTGCCTGCTGCTGGAGCAGCAGCCGCCATTGCTCTAGCTTTTTTCATGTGCCATACACATACCGCGCCAACTTGCGAGTGGTTATGGTGCTCTTATGGTTACTATACCCCGCCAACTTGCCAGTGGTTATGGTGCTCTTATGGTTACTACTAGGGGTTGGGGCGCGCCCGTGCCGCCCCTCTTGAGGCAGTCTTGTGCGTTTCAATCTTATCTAAGCACATTAGAAAGGCTACTTGGGTCCTGATCTCATCTTGGTTATGCATTCAGTGAGTCATGTACATCAACATTAGCATATTTTAGTAGGAGAAGATTAGTTCAAAGATACAAATAGGCTTACTAACATATTCAAAATCATTCGTAATGTATCATAATGTGAGGACTATATAACCCATCAATCAATAATATGACAAACATTTTAAATTGGCTTGCATAACAAAGTTACAAATGATTCTCTGGTGTATGGTCCCTTTTAGTTCTAACTCACCAACTGTTGTCAAAACAATAAGTTTCTTTGGAATACATAAGAACACAATATTCACTAACGGGCACATTTGACCGAAGTCCTCCAAATATATGCATTAGACAACAAAAATAGAAGCAGCGACACAAAATAGATATAAAGGACTAAGAGACGGCCTAAGTGCAGCGCCTTCCAGTAGAACAAATGCCGCCATGCCTCATTGGCGTCATGACGGACACATCCTGACAGTGTAGTGCCTCCATCAGTGGCTCAATGCCACGCCTCCTCACCTTGGTCATCTACTCACCGCCACTGCTGTCCGGTCGAGCAGGATATGTGAAAGCCCTGTAATACTTGAAAATGAGTGAAGATATTCAGTAAGATTTTTTATATAACAAAGTTTAGTAGTTCACTGGTTGGCCATTGTGAATCTAATATTTCGATCATTCTACGCTTCATTTTAAGAGAAATATTATCAGAACTAATACCCACACAGCTAATAAGGCAATATTGTAGTTGATGTTTTAATGATAAACATTGTAACTGGATTTTATTGCATATTTTAGAGTCCAGATAATGCAAGAGTAATGTTGGTCAGAACTCTTCCAGTCAGGTATATCGATAATTTGTATTATTGTTTCTAATTAATAATATATTGGGACAACCAGCTTTGAGCTTACAAGAAAAGGAAATTAATATATGCTAGGTAGCTAGTCATCTAGCCAATTCATCAGCGCGCTAGTGAGGTAAGTAATCCCTAAATTCAAAGTTACAATTTTATATTGTCAACAAGACTTTTGCTTCAAGAGGGATGTTCTAAGTTGCATCAGGACTTGAAGGCCTCGCCAGATACTAATTAGTACAACTGTAGTATCAAGAAGCAGATGATATATTAGATCTAGGGATTTATATGTGCATCAAATTAGCAATTGGTGTGATCCCAGAGCAGACGAAGCGGCAGACTCGGGAGTCATGGAACAAAGGCATGCAAATACATCTAGCAAAAGAAATGACATCCAAAGAGGAGAATGTAGAATTTGTAATCAAGGTATAGATTCACCTAAGCTGAAAGCACAAACGCAATTACATTCTTTTTGGGAGTAAATCATATCTAAACAGAGTTGATCTACAGGTTCTTGAAGAAACAATGGAACCGATAAAGAACAATATACTATAGAAAATAAACAAGACGAGTGAGAAAAAACATGGTGCAGAGTTGAGTAATTTAGCCATTTCCAATGACAAACTGAGTC